ATTCCCTCCAGCTAGCTCTGGTGAGCCCCTCTTTCTGGAAGGAGGATCATGTAACCCAGAATGCTAGGCACACCTCCTCTTCAAGTGGAATAGTTTGAATGCAATCTGCCATGTTACCAGTCCAATAACTCGAATATTACATACAGTTGTGTTCTTCTGCTGTGTCTGTAGGCTTATGAGTAATGTTCGATTGAGATTCATGTGTACGGCCAATATGTGTTCGGTACCTACTGTGGGCCAGAAACTGGGCTTGTGGCTGGGAATAAAACAGACACGTCCCTGCCTTGTGAGAGGAGCAACTTGGGGTGCTGGAAAAATTACCAGGTTGAATTCAAAACACTTGGTACTTACCCTGATTTTACCCTTAATTACCGAGGGACCCAGAACAAGTCATGTAACCTCTCGGGACTTCACTTTGCCCATCTTCCAGATTTCAATTTTAAGAATTTTAAATATCCCAGTAATAATTTCCAGCGTAATAGCCACTGTAAATACCCACTGCTAACGGGACCATAACTTTTTTGGAGCTTGTCTGTGAGATTTGGCGGGAGGGTTCGGGACAGAGAGCTGTGTACAGAGCTCATGGCATGGTGACATCATCTATCCACTGGAGAGTCCTTTTCTTAGGCCGTAATGCTTACCCTTTGTGGCACATCAGAATCATCTGAGAATTTGAAAGAATTCCCCATGCCCAGGCTGCACAGTAGACCAATTAAATCAGAATCTCTCAGGAGGATAGGACCCAGGTGTCAGTCACTTTTCAGCACACTTAATCATCTACTTATTTATTCCATGCATACCTGTGACCCCGCATCCCCCCACCTCTTCAAAGGAAATAGCTCCGTGGGATTTGACCCATGGCAATGAATTTAAGCGTGTCATTTTGGTAGCTGTCAATGTTGCTGTCAGAGCAGGGCAGGAGCGAGAGCTGAGTCCAAGGCATATCTGAGCCCATGGGTCAGCCCTTACGTCTACCATCGAGGAAGGAATTTCTTCTTTGTTCATTATTATCAGCATTAGTGCCTAATTCATGCATTTATCAATATTTATCAAGTACCTGCTGTGAGCGGCCCTGGGTCCTGGAGACTCTGTGGAGAGCAAAAATTAACAACATGGAGGAAACTGCAGGTGCAAAGTCCCTGTGGCAGAAAGGAGCCTAGCCAGTCCGAAGGACAGAAAGGACAATGGTGTGGCTAGACCAGGGATTGCCAGCTACCTGTAACGTGCGGACACGGGTGATGTGGGAAAGGGCCAGACTTCCCTGTGCTTAGTAGGCAGAGCTGCAGCTGCAGAGAGCAAGGGAGGGACTCGCCCTCCGTGCATTGTTTCCATACGTGGTGACTTTCTGCAGTATCCTGGCTGTTTTTAAGACCACAATAAAAAGACATTATTAGCAAAAGCACTGAGGGCATAATTATGAGTCATTCAGAGGAGTAACCCAAGAGTGGCACATTTTTATTTGGTTCCCTCCCAGACAAAACTGCAGGCCCCACCCCTGGGGCCACGTTTGTGCCGGACGCTGTGATAAGCACTTTATTTCCTCACTAAATCTCCATTACTGGCCTATGAGATATGAACGATGATTGCCCCTTCTTATGGATAGACACAGAGAGATTAATAAGTTGCCCGCAGTCACATGGTTACTAAGGGGTAAAACTGGAAACTGAACGCAGGCAATCTCTTTCTGGATGGCCAGGTAATCAGTACAGAGCTGGTGCTGGAACAGGATGGTGGCTCTGCTTGTTGCTCGTGTTGAAATGTTTTATCTTTATTCAGCAAAACCGGATGACATGATGAAGTGTTGAGTTGAGGGTAGCATGAGCATGGTCAGATGGCATTTGCACAAATAATGAACAACTGACAAAGACGTCACTCCCAGGAGGTGATATATGATAGTTGTCTGACAGTCCATGAAACCAGAAAACAAAACAAAACAAACCAATAACAGCTAATTGAAATTTCAGGGAAACTTTAGGTAGAATATAATAGGTATAATGTAACTACTATCTTTGAGGCTGACTGAATAAATTCACTTGATGGATATGCTATCAGAAAACTGTCCTGCCCCAGAGAAATACTTAATAACAGGACTTAGAAACAGGATTCAGGTATTTGACTAGATTCTTGTGAAGCCAGATGCAAACCACAAATCGTATACTCTCTGGGGTAAGAAACAAGAGTGCTCTGGAAACTATATGGAAAATTATATGGATATTGTGATATTATGCATGCAAGCAGCCTACATAAAATCCAGGGAAAGATAGTAAATTGCCAAGAGCCTTGAGCTCATCTGGAATCATTATCATTGCAACCATCAACATCAAGTACTATGTTTTAGTGGCCTGTGATTACATGATATTGGGTATATGGACCTGTATAAACAAGACAGACACAGATTCTCTTTTAGCTGATACACTGAAATAGTCCAGAGCCAAATCTACATTTGTTGAGTACCTATTCTATATCAAGCAGTATCTCCTTTAATCCTCAGACTAGCTCTGGTAAGGGAGGTGAATCCTCATCCTTAAAGATAAAGAAATGGAGACGAAGTGAGGCTAAGTAACATGCCAAAGTCTCATAGTAGCCAGGGTTTGGGTTTGATCCAAAGTGGAACCACAAAAGACCCTGAATAGCCCAAAGCAATCTGGAGAAAGAACAAGGCTAGAAGCATCACACTCCCTGACTTAAAAATATATTGCAAAGCTATAATAATCAACATAGAATGGTATTGGCATAAATACAGACACATAGATCAATGGGACAGAATACAGAGCCCAGAAAAATGGTCCCACATATATATGGTCAATTAATTCATGATAAAGGAGCCAAGAATATACAATGAAGAAAGAACAGTCTCTTCAATAAATGGTGCTGGGAAGACTGAACAGCCTCATGCAAAAGAATGACACTGGACCTCCATCTTACACCAAACAGAAAAATTAACTCTAAAATGGATTTAAGACTGTAACATAAGACCTGAAACTATGAAATTCCTAGAAAAAAACATAGGCGGTAAGCTCCTTGACATAGGTCTTGACAATGAATTTTTGAAGCTAACACCAAATGTAAAAGAAACAACAAAAAAAATGGGACTACATCAAAGTAAACAGCTTCTACACAGCAAAGGCGACCACCAACAAAATGAAAAGGCAACCTACTGAATGGGACAAAATATTTGCAAATCATGTATCTAGTAAGAGGTTAGTATCCAGAGTATGTATAACTCAATACCAAAAAACCCAAACAATCCAGTTTTTAAAAATGGGTAGATCTAAATAGATATTTTTCCAAAAAAGACACAGATGACCAACAGCTACATGAAAAGATACTCAACTCTATTAATCATCTGGGAAATGCAAATGAGAACCACAATGAGATATCACCACACACCTGTCAGAATGGTTAGTATCAAAAAGACAACAAATAAAAAATGTTGGCGAGGATGTGGAGAAAAAGGAACCCTCATACACTGTTGGTGGGGAAGTAAATTGGGGTAGCCACTGTAGAAAACAATATGGAGGTTTCTCAAAATAAAAGTAGAACTACCATATAACCCAGCAATTCCACTTCTGGGTATTTATCTAAAGAAAGCAAAGACAGTAACTCAGAAAGATATATGCACTCCCATGTTCATTGCTGCACTATTTACAGTGGCCAAAATATGGAAACAAAAGTGTCCATCAATGGGTGGATGGTCAATAATATTGTCATAATAGTGTATGTTGACTGCACTTACTTACTGTATTGAGCATTGAGTGTATAGAATTGTTGAACCACTGTGTTGTGCACCTGAAACTAATATAACATTGGATGTTTACTTCAATAATAAAAATTTAAAAACAAAAAAATTAGGTGTGTATATACCGTGGAATATTATTCAGCCATAAAAAAGGATGAAATCTTACCATTTGTGACAATATGGATGGACTGTGAAGGCATAATGCTAAGTGAAATGAGTCAAATTGAGTCAAATTGAGAAAAACAAATATCATGTGACCTCTCTTATAGGTGGAATAAAAAAAAACCCCATAGATACAGAGAACAGATTGGTGGTTGCCAGAGGAAGGGGTGTGAGAAATGGGTGAAGAGGGTCAAAGGTTTAAAAAAAAGCTTTGGGGGGGCGCCTGGGTGGCTCAGTGGGCTAAGCGTCTGCCTTCAGCTCAGGTCATGATCCCAGGGTCCTGGGATCGAGCCCCACATCGGAGGCCTGCTTCTCCCTCTCCCACTCCCCCTGCTTGTGTTCCCTCTCTCGCTGTGTCTCTCTCTCTGTCAAATAAATAAATAAAATCTTTAAAAAAAAAAAAGCCTTGGAGATCTAAAAGACCAAGTAATAAGGGTATTTCAGTCACTATGATGGGAGGAGGCTAGAGTAGGCAGGAAGAAATATTTTGGTGCAGGGAGTACCTCTCCTAACGTTACAGATGTTCTTCTCCTAACACCGTAAACCATATTCCTAAAGGTTCCACTCTTGCAGCTGAAGTCTTGCACAAAGGAAGAGAAAGTGATGTTTCTAAGGTCACATGGGTTCAAGGAGGGAGGGTGGGTTCGCCACTGGGTTTTGCATTATCACACGCTCAGTTCTGTGTCTCAGTTCGGGGCTTGCAAATGATTCCCAGGCACATCTACAGATCTACAAAACCATCAAAAACAAGTGCCTCCAAAGCTGGTGCTTTCAGCTGCTCCCTATAAAAACATGTCAATGAGAGTTTATGCTTGATGTCCATAAGGCGTTGACCAGTGTCTAGAAAGGCTCCTTTTTTTTTTTTTTTTTTTTTGCAGACATAGACACGAACGTCTTGTTATCAGTTGGCATCCAAACTTCAGATGGCGGTTGAAGTAATGATATTATATACAATCGTCCCTTCCTTCCCTTTCTCGCTGAAATAAATACTCAGCTGCAGGGCTGTTTCCCCAGACCCGCCTCTGAAGACTCAGGCAGTCAGTTGTATACTCTGTCAGGCAGGCAGAGCCAATTGAGGTTGATTTCTTTTGTCCAACAGCTGCAGAACCAGGAGATGCTGAGGGCGATGATGAAGAAGGCTGAGCTGGAAATCAGTGGCAAAGTGATTGAAACGATGAAGAGGCTGGAGGACCCCGTACAGCGACAGCGCGTCCTGGTGGAACAAGAGAGACAGAAATACCTACATGAGGAGGAGAGGATCGTCAAGAAGCTATGGTGAGTGCCAGGCATCTGTTACGTGTTGCCGACGACGGGGCCCTTCCTCAATGGTGATCTCTCCTGCTCTCTTTATTGAGCACCCACTGTATACAAGTTAGAGTTCTGCCCATTCTGGGCATCCATGGACCCTTAGCGCCCCTCCATCCAGACCCAGAAAGTTTACCTGCGCTCGTCTCTTTAAAAGCCCAAGCACCATGCTCCTGTGTAGGGCTCAGCGACACATCAAATTGAAGGAAGTAAATGGCAAGACCCAATGGTAAATGGGAAGTCTGCCTTTAATCTCAGTAAATGAAAACTAATAGCCAGAATAACAGGGTTAAAATTATCTTCCTATTATTCAACTGTAGTTAGAAGCGCAAAAGAATAATTCAGAGGTAAAGTATGTCTGATCCAGGAACGAAAGATCCTTCCTTGAATGTTACCAGTCTTCTGTGAGGTTCTTATTGAAAGCATCTATCAAGTCCCACTATTCAAATGAGCAGTTTAATTACTCCCCAGTCACTAGGGCAGGTCCATCTTTTATGGTAATATATGTTGTTATGCAATGAAGATTTATCATAGTATCATGAATAGTAATTTTTCTGGGTTCTCCTGCTGTCGGTAATTCACTTCTTAAATCTCCCCAGTTGGGACTATAAAGAAGCAACGTCACATTCTTCTCATGAGCAGAAGGTCCAGAAGTCTCCATGATGGAAAGTGTTATTTTCTATCACCTATTTGATACTTGAGCTTGTACCACCTCAGATGCCAACCCAGCATGTCTCGTTAAAAATAGAATGTTCCTCTCAGTAGCAGTCCAGAGGGGGCAAAAATTAATTAGAGTTCTTACTTTCCTAAAAAATGGAATGTGGCCACCGTTCACTGACATCTCAAAATCGCTTCCAAAATTTTATGTAGTTCATGCATTTGTAGACAGTTGATCACCCACCGTGAGGCGATAAGGTCGTTTTGTCGGAAATGTTTTTGTGACAGCCCAGTTGTCTAAATCTTGGTGTTAAGATTCTTCTTGAAAACTTCTGTAAAAATACATAGCCTTTTAAGAATATTTCATCAATTTTCCAATTAAATTATGAAAAAGGAAATTTTCTTCTTTTAAAAATTGCGTTTCTTGAGGAGCCGAGGTGAGTCTTGCTTCTGGCCTAGAAAAAGCATCTTTAGTATGTCAATACTAGCCTGAGACTAGTAGCCCCGCCCAAGAGTGAGGTAGGAGGCAGAATGGGGAACGTCCGGTGGGGAGGAGTCTGTGGGCAGGCCGCACACAGGTAAGACGTGCACAGCACAGGGCAGACGAGGAGCTCCAATCTCACGAAGCCAAACCTATGAGTATGTGTATAGCACAAAACAGATGACTCCCAGGTGCCGGGTGAACCTACACAAGGGAGAGATTCCTCTGGGCCCCAGGGATCAAGAAGATTTAACCTGAAATAAGTTATTTTTCATGTGCTCCCAGGCCCAGGGCGGGGCCATGTGTGTAGTGGGGTCTCAAATGGTTTGTTAAACTGAACCAGGATGGCCTGGAGGACAGGTGGGGTTCCATCAGTGGAGGCTGGCAGGGGGTGGGGGGCTCCCGGGCAGAGGGAGCCTGTGAACCAGCCCGTCTCAGGAGCAGGAAGGCGCAAAGTGTCCTTGGAGAATTGCAGATCATCCACTTTGGCAGGAGAGTGGGGTGCAAGATGCTAGATCAGATCTCATTTCTGGGTAACGCCATTCCCGCTTGTTTGGTGACTGCCCATATCTGAGACCACACTTAGCCCGGCATGTCTGCTCGATGTCTGTGGGGCCTGTATTTACCGAGATTGGAAGATCATGTAACAGAAACCTGGATCCCTGGCTTTTCATGGAAGCTCCTGGGTCCAACCTAGATTCAGAACTTCTCTGGATGGAGCTTGAGAATGTGCATGTCACAAAGCTACAGGGGGAGACTCTGAAGTGTCTTCACATTTGACAGTTACTGCCGGCCTGATGAGGAGACCAGTGAGGTTTTTTGATCAAGGACATAGCAAAGTCAGAGCTCTATTTCAGAAAGGTCCCTCTGGGGATCACGTGCAGGACTGATGGAGGGGGAAACATCGGGGAAGCCATATTGGAAGTGCAGTAACAGTCCAGTCCAAAGTCAGTAAGGCCTGAATCATGGAGTAGAAATAGGAAAGGGAAGAGAAATTAAATGCAAAGGGATCAGAGTAGCGATTGAGAGCGGATTACAAAAGACAGCCAGAAATTTCAACTCTGGGACATTAGAAAAACAATGATCTCCTCTCCCTCCCCTCCCTTCCCCTGCTCTTCCCTTACACACACACACAGACACACACACACACACGAAAGTAAGTTCCCTTGGGCGTCATGCTAGGGTAAGTTACTGGTGAGCCATTCAGATGGCAGAGAAATGAAATTTGGGTCTAGAACTGTGGAGAGAAATTGAATCAAGATCATTCCTCTTCCAATAATAGTCAGATGAAATATATTTCAACAAATTGATGCTTCCTTTTAACTAAGGTAGAAGAAAAAGCATCTTACACAAATAGAACAGATTTACATATAAACCACAGCATCCGTGAACATCTGGCATTCCTTTGAGCAGAGTTCACATCTCAGAAGTCATATTGATTACGTAACACTGAAAATTTGTTTTCAGCATTCATTTTAGCTCGCTGATCTCAGTTACATTATGAATGAACAAATTTGATCCAACTGCTTTCTAACATATCATAAGCATATGAACAGAAGTGACATTGTTGTATACAATAATATCAATACACTTTTGTATATATTCCTTGACCAACAAAGGAAAAGCTGTGACATTTAAGGGTCTCCTGTGTGCAGAGTTAGGAAATCCAAGAGGCACACTGTGTAGAAGAGATTAAAATAGAATTTTAGGCAGACTGACTTTGGGTCAGATGATAGCTCCTAGGAGTATTAATTGCAGCCTGGCAGGCTTTGGGGTTGTTATTGGAACCGTGATAACATTTGGGTCTTAGCTCTTCCCTCAAAACTTGGAAGGACTGGACTGCATACTAAAATATTTCAGTTTGGTGATGAAATGGAAAATAACTTTTCCACACAGAGGTGCCATTTTTAGAGCTCTTATGAGGGATGGCACACATTCTCTCCTCAGGGATGCGGTAGCTGTAGGAAATTGCTGTGTGTGGGTTCACAGAACACCAGCTACCTTTCCATAGTTCACAAATGTGGACGGGGAGCAGATGAGGCTTTCCCTTCTGGTTTTGAAGTTGTGTCATTTCTTCTGAAGGGATCACAGGCAGTTTGGGTCCATTTGCCATAACGGAATGAAAGACGTCACCAAAAAGCCCACTTCTCTACGGCAGATGAATTTGTTGTTTGCCCCATGGTCCTTGTGAAATATACATCTCATCCTGCCTGAATCCCTCCCGCAGTGGCTGTGCCATCCGTAACTCCCGTCTGCACGCCCACTTAGTGGGAAGGCTCTGGGCAGGCCATTTTGTTTTGCAGATCCACTGTGTCCTCTTTCTCTGCTCCCCACCTGCTCTAAGCCCTGTGCCGTGGGCAGGTGGAATTGCTGGTCACCTGCTGCCACCTAGTGGTTTTTCATCTCTCAACATCCTTTTCCTCCACCTTTTTTTTTTTTTTTTTTTAAAGATTTTATTTATTCATTTGAGACACAGAGATACAGAGAGAGAGAGAGCATGAGCAGGGAGAGAGGCAGAGGGAGAAGGAGAAGCAGGCTCCCTGCTGAGCCAGGAGCCCGATGCGGGGCTCGATCCCAGGACCCTGGGATCATGACCTGAGCCGAAAGCAGATGCTTAACCATCTGAGCCACCCAGGCGCCCTCCTCCACCTTTAAGAGATGTTTTCTGTTGTCAGATTTACAGGCAAATTGAAGTGATACAAACGTGTTTAGGATGCAGTTATTAATGTGCCCAGGAGACAGGATATTGTCGGTTTGGTTGGTTGGTTGGTTGGTTGGTTGGTTTGGAAGACCTTCATTCAGTTCTGTTGGAGCTCTCGCAGTACCTTAGGGTGTGTGTGTGTGTGTGTGTGTGTGTGTACGCGCATATGCGTGCACGTTTCTCTCACACCCTCTCTCTTACACACACATACACACCAGAAATCAGATCTGTGATCATCTAACCTCTGTAGCTTAGAGCAGAAAGTCAGTCCTTACTGATGAGATCTTCGGTGTAAGCCAGAGGTTCTTGACCAGGGGCAAGTTTGCTTTCCTCCCCTCCCCCCCCCCGACGGACATGTCCCAATGTCTGGAGACATCCTTGTTTGTCACAGGCTCGGGGCAGGTGCTATTAGCGTCTGGTGGGTAGAGGGCAGGGGTGCTGCTGAACACCCTACAATGTACAGGACAGGCCCCTACAAGAAAGAATTATCCAGCCCAAAATATCAAGTTCCAAGTTGAGAAGGCCGATATAACCGGACCAGGACCCTTCCTTTTTCCCCGCTCCAGCGCGCACACTCCATCCCCTCTGTCACGTTACAAAGTGCATATACCCCTCCCTCAGTTGGCAGCAGCATCCCCACCGAAAAGAAAGAACGGGCCCTTTGTCAACTAGCCACCATCTTCCCTCTGGCCAACCTGGCCGTCCCCATGAACAGGGCCTGGGGAAACTTCCTTGCACCTGCCTTACACCCCAGCAGAATATTTAAGCCAAACCAAGCTACCCTCATGAGCTGCCATCTTAGCAGAAGGCCAGGGGAGGCTGGGACGAGCCCTTTGCTACTGCAGCTGTCCTTTCTGGGGACCTCGGTGTTCACTCCCATCTGCTGGTCTGCTTCTGCCCTCCCCCTCACAGTGAGCTGGAAGACTTTGTTGAAGACTTGAAGAAGGACTCTACATCAGCCAGCCGAGCAGTCACTCTAAAAGACGTGGAAGACGGGGCCTTCCTCCTGCGGCAAGTGGGAGAAGCTGTAGCTACCCTGAAAGGTGAGCCTCCTTCTTGAAGGGAGAAGTCCGAAGCCTGTCTCCTGGGGTGTTTAAAAATCTGTCCAGTAGTGAAGGATTCATTCATTTATGCATGTGTGCATGCAAGTAGTCATCAAGCGCCTATGTGTGCCGAGCACTGTTCTAGGCACTTGGGATGCATCACTGAACGAAATAGGCAAATATCCCTGTCTTCTTGGACCTTCTATTTTAGTGGGTGCTGGGAGACTTAGGATTAAACGATACTAATGACAGTTTTTTTCCACTGGGCTCTTTCAATGTGCCAGGTGCCAAATTCATTACAAATGACCCTAAGGGATAGTTGCCTTTATCCCAAATATGCAGACAGGAAATGAGGTGCAGAGGACCCCTGCCCTTGCCCGAGGTCACCTGGAACCCAGCTCTGTCTGACAGGTGTCTGCCTCCTGAAGATGTGTGTGGAGCACGGTGGCCAGTGAACCCCACGCCTCCAAGCCTATCCAGTGTGCATGCGGGGTGGGGGCTCCTCGTTCTGCTTCTTCTCCTACAACTCACCATCTGTTCTTGGCCTGCAGGAGAATTTCCAACCTTACAAAACAAGATGCGAGCCATCTTGCGCATAGAAGTGGAGGCCGTGCGGTTCCTGAAGGAGGAGCCCCACAGGCTGGACAGTCTCCTGCAGAGGGTGCGGAGCATGACCGACACCTTGACCATGTTGCGGAGGTAACCGGGCCTCCCCTGGGGGTGGGGAAACGTCCTGAGGAGAGACAGCGACTCCTTCCACCCCAAATATTCTTTTGCACTATGACTGGAGGTCCTGATTCTTCAACACAGGCTGGCTGCGATGGGCACAGCCTAGAGCTTAAGATTAGTAAACTTAGTAAACGTTTCTTTAAAAAAAAATCATTAGAAGGTGGTTCTTTTCAGGAACACTTTAAAGTTGAAGAATGGATCACAGTATTTTACTAGCCATCTTCACTTCAGGAGCACAGGTGCCTTCAGTTAGAAGGAGAAATGCGCACCGTAGTTCAAGAGATGGCATCAGGGACGGGGTGCTGCCTAACTCGGGGGCGGGGGGGGTGTGGCAGGTGGGAGGAGAGATTTAGAACTGGAAGTTCTAAATCTTCATGAAGATGACTGGTGGCAGTGAAGGAGAGGGCATGAGACAGAAAGGGGGGAACAGATCCTTGGGGAAGTTTCACTGATCCAGCGTCGGTAAAAGAAACAGAAGTGAGTAGCAGAGGAGAGTCACTAAATGCAATGTCTTCTTTTCAAAACAAAGAAGAGAGAGAGAACATTTTTTTTTACTTTTTTTTTATTCTTATGTTAATCCCCATACATTACATCATTAGTTTTAGATGAAGTGTTCCATGATTCATTGTTTGTGCATAACACCCAGTGCTCCATGCAGAATGTGCCCTCCTCAATACCCACCACCAGGCTAACCCATCCTCCCACCCCCCTCCCCTTTAGAACCCTGTTTTTCAGAGTCCATCGTCTCTCATGGTTCGTCTACCCCTACGATTTCCCCCGCTTCATTCTTCCCCTCCAGCTACCTTCTTCTTCTTCTTTTTTTTCCCTTAACATATATTGCATTATTTGTTTCAGAGGTACAGATCTGAGATTCAACAGTCTTGCACAATTCACAGCGCTTACCAGAGCACATACCCTCCCCAGTGTCTATCACCCAGTCACCCCATCGAGAGAGAACATTTAATAAGAAAACGAGGCACCGATTAAAGATTATCGGTCAAGTTTGACATTGTCTGACATATAACTACATTGATCCTAACAGTAACCCCCGAGGAAGGCATTAGGAAGCATTCTCATCCTCCTGCCCTCGTTCTAATCATTATTACACTCTATAGCAAACTGTCTGAGGCTCAGAAAGGTAAGGTTCCCAACATCATAGCCAGAACATGGCAGGACTGATGACATTCAGGCACAGGTCTGGCTGACCCCAAAGCCATGTTCTTTCCACTGCACCATGGGTGGAAATCGACAAATAGCATCAAATGACCCCAAAAAGCAGAGGAGGATGAGGACCAACCCAGCTGCTAGATTTGAAGTCACTGTTGACCTTGCAGAAAGGCGAGGTTGAGTCCTGGTGGGGAAGCCTGATCACACAAGGCTGAGCGACATGATGAGCAGGCACAAGGAATTAGAACACAGTTGCCCCTTGAACAACTCGGGTTTGAACTGCACGGGTCTGCTTGTGTAGGAATTTTTTTCGATAAATACAGGGCAGTACTCTAAATGTGTTTTCTTTTCCTTGTGATTTTCTTAATATTTTCTTTTCTCTCTTTATTGTAAGAATACAGTGATAACATACAAAATATATGTGAATCAACTGTTTATGATGTAGGTAAGGCTTCTCGTCAACAGTAGGCTATTCGCAGTTAAGATTTTTGGGGGGTGCCTGGGTGGCTCAGTTGGTTGAGCGACTGCCTTCGGCTCAGGTCATGATCCTGAAGTCCCGGGATTGAGTCCCACATCGGGCTCCCTGCTCGGCAGGGAGTCTGCTTCTCCCTCTGACCCTCCTCCCTCTCATGCTCTCTGTCTCTCATTCTCTCTCTCTCAAATAAATAAATAAATAAAATCTTTAAAAAAAAAAAAAGATTTTTGGGGGCAACGAAAGTTCCACGTGGATTTTCAACTGTGTAGGGGGTCAGGACCCCTAAGCCCCACGCTTTTCAAGGCTCAGTTGTATGAACTGCCCTCCCCGGGGCTTCGGCAGTGCAAGGAGGAGAACGTGGAGGGCTCAGGAAGTTTTGGGGGTTGGAAGTGAGCCTCTCTGAGGGGCTGTTCAGCCAGGATTGGGTACAGGAGTTATTGTTAGAGCCCCATGTTCACTGTGCCCCACCACACAAATGGTGACAGGACAGCATCCGGCTGGGCAAGACCACGCTAGTGGAAAGCAAGAGACAGACCATCTCGCGAGGGAAGGACTGAGAACGCAGCTATCAGAGCCAGCTGGGAGGCAGCTGGAGGGCATTAGGAAGTTGCTATGGAAACCCCCAACCCTGAGCTGCAACTCTGGGTTTTTGAACATCTTAATTTTGCAAGAATAGCTTGCCTGGGTTTGGGATAACACAGCGTTCGAGTTTATGCCATAAAAATAAAATGCAAGCTACCCACTTTAAGAGTTAATGTTGCTGTGCCTGGTTTCTCCCAGACACGTCACCGACGGGCTCTTGAAAGGTACAGATGCGTCCCAGGCCGCTCAGTATGTGGCGATGGAGAAGGCCACGGCCGCCGAAGTCCTGAAGAACCAGGAGGAGGCACCCCACGCCTCAGGCCAGCCCCTCCCCGTGGCAGGAGTCCCCGGCGACGTGAAGTCGGAAGTGGTGCCCTTGACCATTCACCACGCACAGAGCTCTCCTGTGCTCATCCAGCCCTCCCAGCTCTCGGCCGCCCTGCTGAACCCGGCTCACCACTTGCCTGCAGGGACCGGTCCCCACCCGGCCAGCCCTCCAGCCACCACTCAGGAAGGGACCTCCGCTCTGCCGTCAGCTCAGGCTCCACAGTCCCCACAGACGCCCATGAACGGTTCCACCATGCAGAGCTTGTTCATCGAGGAAATCCACAGCGTGAGTGCCAAGAATAGGGCAGTGTCTATTGAGGTAGGGTCCTATTTCCCTTTCTCGTAGCCCCATAAAGGAATAACACCTGGTCCTTTCCCTTGAAGATTTATCGTCTGATTGTAAAGATAATACATATACGTGTATATGTATCAAAGATAGATTTTTGTCAAATATATATAAACATGTATCTCAAAGATAGCCCTATAAATGGGTTTCAGTGGCCAGATTAAGAGAAAGGTCATCGGATTTCAAGAAGGGTAGGAAGGTGAGGCCCCGCTATGCTGGGAAGTGTTTAACCATCGGCTCTCTGGGGGGGAAAACGCCCTGATTTGTAGAATTTGCCCATTTCTGTGGTGTATTCTCCCATGATCACTGATTTTGAGTTACAGCAGGATGTCAGGGAACGTGCAGTTGGGGAGAAGTGTGAGTCAGTGCTCCCCAGCCAGCGCATGCAGGCCCGCGGAGGGTTTGCCAGTGGTCTCGGAAAATCAGTAGACTCTGGGTGAGCCGAGCAGGGTGGTGAGGGCGGGCTGGGGCAGAGGACAGCTGGAGCAAAGGGAGACACGAGGAAACCTGTGTAATGGGAACAAGACGGGGCAGAGGAACCTGGCAAGACAAGCTGCAGGGCAGTCCGAGATGCCTCAGGGTCATGGTGTGGGCATCCAGAAAAATGTTGCTGCTTGGACCGGTGATAAAAAATAGCATCTTGAGAAAATCACTCTGAAACAATGTACAGACTTGATTAGGAGGTGGGTCTAGGATTAAGGGTGCGGGATAGAAAGTAGTTAGCCTAGTCTCGGGATGAAAGGCAGAGACTGTCAAAATGGAAAGAGAAAACTAGGCCTTAACGTCACAGAACAGAAAACAGGCCATGTTTTTAAAGATTCTTTTTATCTAAGAGCTGGTGTCCATGCCCGAGGAGCACAGCTTGCTTCCCCCTTCCTCCTGCCCCCTTGTGTCCTCCACTCCTTACCCCAGACCCTGGCCCTGACCCTCCTGCCTCTCTCACAGGTCGGCAGTGGATAATGCAGGTCTCAAGAGAAAAATAACCTCTTCAAATGGCCATGGCCGCGGTCCTGGCAACCGGGCCTCTGAACGCTAGGTAGCTTCTGCCTGCTCCCAAGTCATAGCTATGCCCTAATCCAAGCCAGCCACTCACAAAATGCATCTCACAGGAGGGGTGAAATGTGATTGCCTGATGACGATTCGATCCTCTCCTGCCCCACAGGGCAGGGGCGCAGCCTGGAAACCTGTTTCCCCCTGAGAATGAGTGGATCTGCCCCTTCATATGTGTCCATATGGAAATGATGGACCCGTTTATTTAACAAATATCTATTGAGAACCCACTGGGCACAGTTATCATTGATGTGTGTGTATTTTAAGTTTCGACTTGCGAGTCATCTCTAAAAATGCCCCAGTCTGCAGAAAGGAGGCCTGGGCCTTTCTGCCCACTCCATTGCTGACGAATGAGGGGGAGCTTCCTTCACAACCAGGTCCCTACAGGCTCTGGGGCAGGCAGTGAACTGAAGGGACAAAGCCCGTGCTTTCAAGAAACGTACCTGCTTGTAGGGAGAGATCGAGAACCAGTGTATGCCAGACAATAATAAATGCTAGGAAGGACAAAGAAAGCAGAGGAGGGGTTGGTAAGGATGGTGATGGTGGAGACTCGGGTTTACACAGCGTGACTCTTTGGACAAATCCTCGTCTCCCTGGGCCCTCGCATCTCCTGTGTAAAGTGTGCTAAGAAAGCGATCTCCTCTGTCTTTTCCCATTCTTACATTGTGGGGTCCTAGTAATCCTGCTGCAGATTTCCCCGCGGCCCATCTGGAATGATTCCTGTGCTACCCTAGAATCACAGGAAAATGTTCTTTTCAAAAATGTACAGGTATTCAAAAATGCATTTCATGTATTTCTCCCTACTGTAGAACTTGGTGGAGCTTAGAGGTAATCTAAATAACCCCCATTTTACATGTAAGAACGTTTGACCCAGAGGCCATATAGCAATTCTTAGGCAAACGTGGACTGGAGGTGTAGGAGTCTTTGTTCCCAATGAATGTTTTGGTTTTGTTCTTGTCCGTTTGCACATCTCCTCTATGATGAAAACTCAGTTTCACGAACAGAAACTTGGTTATGGGATGCATACTTTTGAAAGCATATCCCTGTGTCCTTTTTACTACTATTGGGAAAGTAGCAATAAATGCTCAATAATCAGTTAATGAATGAATTTGGGTTTCTGAGCTTGCTTCTCTGTGAATGAATATCAATCACTTGGGCTTACGTGGCAGCGAGCACAGAGGCAGGTTTGTCTGAGGTACAAAAATGTCCCTCAGCACGCACACCAGAGCCTTATTTTATCAACATTTTACCTGTGTCACACCTCCCCCTACACCAACATGAAATCCCTAATTAGCTTTCCCTCTGGATGCTAAACTTTCTTCACTTGCAATTTTCTTTCAGAAAGCAGAAAGGAAATGGGAAGAGAAAAGGCAAAATCTGGACCACTATAACGGGAAAGAGTTTGAGAAGCTACTAGAAGAAGCTCAGGCCAATATCATGAAGTCAATTCCAAACCTGGAGATGCCACCAGCCTTGGGCCCGCAAACAAAGGGTGATGCCCCAGGAGACAAGCTCGAACTTTCAGGTGAGGTGCTCACCCAACTGAGCAGGCTGGCTGCCCACTTAAGCACATGCTGGCCGACAGGACCAATCCCTCACTTCTCAAGAATTTTATAAAATTGTGAAACTGGAAGCACAAATCCTCAGGTATCACTAGATTCTCACTCTTACTTTTTCACCAAAACCATAGTAGGGAAACTGTGTTCTGCGTTAGGGCACGAGAGTAGTGCCCAGTAAGGTAGAATTTAGATCCCCCTAGCTTCTACATTTCCTATGAATTTATGACACTTCACAGCACCAGCTGGGAGACTATGAGGGCTGCATTTAAAGTAAGAGCTTTTCATGTGCTGCAGGAAGAAAAAACCAGGCTTTATGAGCTCCCAAGGGGATATTAGATCATAAGGCAAAATGGCATTTTTTAAATCAAAATTATTAGATTGTATATTGAACCAACTAAACTATGGAAGTTAAGCATCGATGTGTCACTAATAACATAAAATAACTGTTAGAAAACCCAGCCTACTAAATCTCCAACCAACAAGCACCACGCCTTACTCTGATTTCAGAGCTGTGTACAAAGACACGATTTTACTTGCAGCCCAGTGTCTCGGAGCCACATTCACTGACGCCTCGTCCAGGAACTAAAATTAATTTGAAAAGGAATCGCCATCCTGACTTGCATGTCCAGGAACATGAAAGTAGATACAGTTTACAACCACTGAAACCCTGTCTCAGGTTTTCCTTCCCCAAAGCTGCTCTAAAATCCCAGTCACGGAAACTCTCCCCATCAGTCCACGCTAAGTTTTTCTACCTCCTTTCCCCACCTGCTGGCTGTGTGAGGCCTGTTTAGGGACCTGGAGGGTGAAGCAGCATGTGCCCGGGAAGGAGGGGGCCTGGGAGGGGCGGCTCTGCTCTCCCCAAGACAGCTTTTCTCCCAGAGTTCCCGTGAGGAATTTCTCATGGGTAAGGATCTACCCCCTTCCATTTCTATCTGGCCTAATCTGGCTCTTCCCATTATTAATTTTGTCAGATAGTCCCTGGATGTTTTAGAATCACAAGTAAATTATAAAAATCGTTATAAATTAGAACTGTTCCTTCTCCATGATTATACAGCAAAAATAATAACACTACATTTTGTTAATTTACCGCGTTTGGGCTTCTTATTCCTTCAGATTAAAAAAAAATTGCATGAAGTATTTTTAAAAAATTAGTCTCCAAAGTATTTTTCACTCAGTTAAAATGTTCTTGTTGTTCTTTTTGTTTTTATTTTTAAGTAAACCCTACACCCAGCGTGGGGCTTGAACTCATGACCCTGAGATCAAGAGTCGCACGCTCCACTGACGGAGCCAGCCAGATGCCCTTGTTTTTTGTTTTTTTAACACGTGGCCTGATTTCTTGTCAGAAAGAGTCCACTAATGTACAGGCTACCAGAAATGCATAAGGGTACAAGCCGTTAACTGCAAATGTTGGTTTCTCTCATTTTTACTTATTTGGCATGGATGTTATTTTTTTTATTTGTGTTTACTAATGAGGTAAAATTCTACACTGAAGGTTTAAAAAAAAACTTTTTTGTATTTCCTCTTGTGTGCACTGACTACTTCGATAAAGGGGATGGACCAAGAGCTCCTAAACATCAGTAGAAAGTTTTAGGGACTATAGCCTCATTCTGTGTTAAAGAAAAATTATTCTCAGAGCTATGTGTTAAAAAGAGCAAGGAAGACTTGATTCAAGACCATTGCAGTGGGTGAGAAATTGAACTCGACTCTGAATGCAGCATATCAAGGATAGGGAGGTTCTTGCTAAAGGCTTGGATGTCCAGGGTGGGGAATGAAGAACCCAGTCAGATGTCAAGAACGGGGGATTCTTGCTATATTGACTTAGTAGAATTCTTTGCTAAAACTGGGCTGAGCCGACCAAGGGCAAAGCCTAATGGAGAAAAGGGCTCAGAGGAGCCTCACCAAAGCTGGTCAAAGAGGCAGTCTTTTGGGGGCCCCTGGGTGGCTCAGTGTTAGGTTAAGCGTTGGCCTTCAGCTCAGGTCATGATCCCAGGATCAAGTCTGCATCGGGCTCCCTGTTCAGCAGTGAGCCTGCTTCTCCCTCTCCCCCCTGCTCGTGCTCTCTCTCTCTCGATATTTCTCTCTCTCGCAAATAAATAAGTAAAATCTTTAAAAAACAAAACAAAACCAAAACCAACAACAACAACAACAAAAACAAAGAGGCAGTCTTTGTCATTACACAGGAGAGGAGACCTGGGCCCACCTGCAGGGCCCATCAGGCTGTGCCAGTCCCTGGAGGGACCCACAAAGCTGACGAGGCCATCCCCAGGCTGGGCTGCTGGCTTAGGCACCAGCCAGGTGGCCCAGTGCTGCTTGGGCCTTGTAACCGGCACCCTCAGGCATGAGACTAAAACCGGCCACTACACGTAATCGTGGGCATTTCACCCCGATGATTTACCCACATCCTTATTATAATTTTAAGTAGAAACTCCTCAAACAGCTCTGATTAGGTTGCTCAGAAGAGACAAACACATTCCAGGGAGGGCACCTTGTTAGAGAGAGCTGGGGCAAAGCCCACTTGGAAGCTCCGGACCGTGAATTCCTGGCTCTCCCGCTTTAGGGAGCTCTTGGATTGAGTGCTGGTGAAGGGCAGAGGTGAGGAATATTGATAAAGGCAGGAATGGGGCCCACTGTTTAAATTTTATTAAGTGCCTTTTGGGGGCAGTTTTCTGAAGAACGCTAAGCAGATATCTGCATTTTCTAATCTTTGGTGTCTATCCTAATTTATACTTCTGCAGCTCTGTGTTTACTGCCTCCTTTCGTTAGCAAAGAACCGTTTCCAATCACACAACTATGACCAAAAATCCACTTTCTCCCTGACTTCGTTTTCTGTTCCATCTGCCTCCCACTTGCCTTCTGGCCCTTCTGTGGCCAGATTCTTCTAGCATCCCCTGCTCCAACCCCTCCTGCTCACACTGTGTTTCAGACTTGAGGGACGGAGGCTTTAGAGGCTATGCAGGGGGCTCTGGATTGGTCTTTTTTTTAAGATTTTATTTATTTATTTTGGAGATAGGGAGCAGGAGGAGCAGAGGGAAAGGGACAAATAAACTTCACGCTGAGTGCAGAGCCCGATGTGGGGCTCAATCCCACAACCCTGAGATCACGACCTGAGCCAAAACCAAGAGTCGGCTGCTTAACTGAATGAGCCACCCAGGTACCCCTGGATTTGTCTTTAGGCTCCAATATTTCATCTCTCCAAGTAATACCCAGATTTTTTGTTGAATAAGGATAGCTTGTACTTGCATTGCATTTACAATAAGCCAGTAAGCATGGTTCCAAATGCTTCGCGTATATTAAGTTATTTCATCCTCACAGCACCCCAGTGGAGAAGATCATAGTAATACCCATTTAACAGATGAGAAAACCGAGGCAGAGAGAAGTTAGTTAACTTGTGCAGGATCTTTCTGAGATTTCAAGTCAGTCAGGCTTCAGGGTCCATACCTTTAATCATCACACTAGGGAGAGACTAGAGAAATGTTTAAGTCAGATTACATCGAGTTTCTAGAAATACACTGTTCTGGACGTTATCTTGCAAAGATATTATTTTTCAATGATACCCTGTTTTCCAGAAGACTCTCCAAATCCAGAACAAGACTTGGACAAGCTGGGGGGTAAGTCCCCACCTCCTCCTCCCCCGCCCCCTCGGCGGAGCTACCTGCCAGGATCAGGGCTCACCACCACGAGGTCCGGCGACGTGGTCTACACCAGCAGGAAGGAGAACACCACCGCTAAGGTCTGATGGGTTAAGCACTGGTAAACTGGTCTCTGGATTCAAATGATACCCTTAGACAAGGCTCTCTCTATTCTCCTTTAGAACACAACAAGTAGTAAGGCAGAGAAGGAGAGAATTGACTAAGCTACATCACAGGAAGGCCCCACAGATGGGAAAATGTCAGCTGGTGTTATTGGACTAGACTCAGCACTACGAGCTTTATCCTTACTTGACTTCTAGCTGCAACAATGTAAAATGCAAATCACAAGCTACTTCCCCAGCAAGGCGGCATAAGATTGAAAATGAGGGGTGAAGAGGAAGCCAAAGAAAGACCATCTTACAAAGCTAAGTGAGATTAGCTAACATAGGTGTGAGAGTCTGCACAGAAAGATGCTCGATGAGCTTCCGCTTCCACTTCACTTGGCAAGTTCTGTCTTTTGTGCTAAATGTGAAATACAATTTCTGAGGAGATGTCACATGGGCGGGCCTTTCTTAAAGGCACCGAATGTTGAGTAGTTACAGTTTTATTAAAAATCTTCCATCTATTCACCAAAATGACAACTTGTACGAACGAAAAACCCAAACTAAATGCAAGGGGATATTATCGTCTTTGAACTCGATTTGAAGAGTTAGGAAGCCAACGCACCAGACAGTAAGGGAACGTGTGTTCTCATGATCTGGCCCTCTTTTCACCAGCACCTGCAGGTGTTAAGCCAGTATCTGTGATTTGAATCTTCCACAGGCGAGCAGTGAAGATGCTGTACCAAGCCCCCAGGCTAGAGCCACAAAATGTCCAGAGGAGCCTGCTTCTGCCTGGACCCCATTCCCACCATCAGTCATTACCTCCTCCTCAAAGGATGAGGAGGAAGAAGAGGAAGGAGACAAAATAATGGCAGAACTCCAGGTACGTGGATGAGGTGACTTGACTATGGCTCCTTGCCTTCATATCTAGGACTCTCTGGCTGTGTCTGTCACAGATTCATTAGCTAGAGAGGGTTGGCCAGGAGCCTTTGGACTTAGGCCCCCAAAGCTGCATCTTCTGGCCTTGGCTTCCACTTTTCCAAGATGGCACTGAACTAGGCTCTCGGGGTACCTCATGACATGTGTAAGGAATGATCATTTCACAAAACAGCTCGGGAAGTTTATACAGAAGATCAATTGCAAGTTTTCCTAGCTCTGGCTGAGAGGATTTGCTTTCCTTGCTTTTAGTCTTAATACTCGGCTTCATTTCACAAGCAATTAAGACAGGGATCAGAAATACCAGCCATTGTCTTGTCTTCATAAGGACTGACTAAGGCCCACTTCAGGTGGGGTCCCATCCTTTGGTTTTAATACTCGAATGGCTGCCCTTAGGCCTTCTGCTCTCCATACCAGGCTCGCATTCGGTGTCAGTGTCATCTTTTCAAATATTCTGACAAGTTGAATGATTCCCATTTTCTTTGGCCTGTTTGAGAAATGATACTTTATGTATTAGTTTTGGATTTTTATTTTTTAACTAATTGACAGAGTCCATCCATAGGATTAAGGATGGGGTACAGAAACTAGACTCAAAGCTTATCCCACATTCAAATCATGGCTGTGAATCTACCTTGGCTGTACGTTCTAAGAACTTTTCAAACCAGAGACATATGCGCAATTCCCAGACTAAAGTCTGTTCGTAGAATATTTCACTTTGACCCATACTTATTGTAGGATTTTCCCCCCCCTTTGGATGGCCAGATGGTCAGGCCACAACCACATGGGGTTCCAAAACATGTTGCCTGTTCACCAGTGTACTCATGGTTTTGTGAAGGCCCCACAGATCTGCATTCTTCACGTGGAGTAGAGAGACTTGCAAACCGTGTCATTTCTACCACGGCAGTTCTGTTTTGCCTTCCTTGGTGGTAACTGCCAAAATTGGGCTGTTTGGATTCACAGGGCTGCTAGGTTGATTTATGAATATGGGTGAGTCCTTCCGAGCCTCACTAAAACTCCCAAACTGGCCTGGGACATCCTTCCCACCAATCAGCTTGCAGACAGGTGTTCCGAATGGTTAGAGAGTGTCATTCGTAAGAACCATAGATTGCTAAGGTTAGGGACACATGCAACAGTTGAGAGCGTGGAGGTGTCCGTCACTCAGTGATCCAGTGAGGACCCCCTGGCTGAGGACACTGGCAATGACAAGCCTGCTGGTTGTTGGGGGATCAGGCCTTGCCCAAAGATGTGGAGGCAGGTTCTGGGACCATTCATTGTAGCATCTGCCCCAAAGCGTGGTAAGAATTGATCATGGCCCAGTTTGGTTCAAATGGATGACAAAGCACCAGATGATTTTAAATCCCCGCAAGGTGAGCAGTCACTACTAATCCAAGGAGCAGAGACTTTAGGCTCGTGAATAATCCTACACTAGCCCCCAATCAGAAGTCATCTATTTGTTCCAGCTTCTTAGAGCTCTTGGCTTGAGAACATTTCCCTCCACTGAGGCCTACATACCGCGGATGCTTTCTTTGACTGAAAGTTTTCAGAGGCTGGAGTATTTGGCTCCTTGTTGTAGTATTGGTGGTTAGGTAATACTGGTGAATAAAGTGCTCTAAGCCTAACTTAGCCAAAGCCAGGCAGCTCTCCTGCGGGGGGCAGGGACCCAACCTGCTGCCCCAGAAGGTCAGCCGCAGGCTCTGGACTTCGATGCCCCGAGGCAGGACAAGGAGCAGGTGCGACCTCCAGAATGAAACTGTGGGGCACCTGCCTGCTCCAGAGTACCAGGCATCAGAAGAAGCCACAGGCTCCCAAGTCCAAGGTCTGACAGCCCAGTGGAGATGGCGAGTGGCTTTAGTGGGCATCTCCAGGGCCAGCAAGGACTGGGGTGTCTGAGGGACTGCAAGGGGGAGCCAGCGCTTCAGGCACGGGGAGTGAGTGGAGGAGTAGGGGGAGAGCAGGCCGGCAAGGCCCCAGGCATCACCTTCATTTGTATTTTAGGACCCGTCCTGAAATGGTCAACTTGGTGCAGGCATGGGTTATTCTTTCTGCCTACAGAGCTCTTTCCAAAGGAGCATACTTGACATTAAGAAAATATGATGCAATCATTTGGGATTTTTTTCGTTTAAATAACTGGTCTTTAGTCCCAGGTGCACATTCGAATTATCTGGGGGAGTGTTTTAAAAAAGAAAAAAGAGCCTCTGAATGAATTCTGAATGAATTATTCTCTGGGTGATGCCTGGGTAACAGAATTGTTTTTTAACAAGGTGACATGTAGTTGAGTTGAGAACCACTGATTTCAAGAAGCTGGACGCTGGGGTCCTTCATCTTTCTTGCTTTCACGATCGTATTGTCCCTCCCACTCTCTGCCCCAGAGACACAGTCTATGCTTTCTGTCCGTCTGAGAACTGGCCTCCCTCACCCCATGTTCATGTGAGCCGGCGTGGGTTCCTAGAACCAAACCTGATAGTTTTCAGAGACAGGGCTAGAGGCTCGGGCAACCCCGAGGCTGCTCAGAATCCCCCCGGGTGCTAAAGGGCATCATCACTTTATTCTAATGCACTTCAGAACCCCTCAGAGGATGGGTGTCCCTTACTACGGCAAACAGTGAATTGGTAAGGATTACTTTTGATGTACGATTGAGAGGTTTGCAATATCTTGTGCCCTTTTTTCTCTGACCTCAAGAAAGCTGGTTAAAAAAAAGAAGAAGAAGAAAAGAAAGAAAATGACCGAGAAAAAAGAAACATAGCTTCTTGTCTTAATTCATTTACATATTCAACATTTTTTAAAGGTCAAAGCAAGAAGCCCTACTACATGTAAATCAGGTTCTGGAAGAAAGGGCATTCCTTTCAAGGCTTCTGTCCATTAATCCTACCGGGACACATAGGAAGCCTTTGCCCCTGGCTCAGCATTCAGCTTTGCTGCCTGAGGCCCAAATGCGGAGCCCGTTTCGCAGACGCTGCCTCCCTGGCCCCCGTGTGACCTGCATTCAGGCCTGGGCTCAGGTCTCCGTGTCTCTGGACTCTGCCTCTTCCCTCCTTCCTCCTCCCTGCACCTGGATCCCCGTTAACCTCAGTATTTTAATCCCTCAGGCATTCCAGAAGTGTTCCTTTATGGATGTAAATTCAAACAGTCATGCCGAGCAGTGCCGGGCTGACAGTCACGTTAAAGACACTAGGCCGGGGGCCACGGTCCCACCCAAGGAGAAGAAGGTAACGTGGTGGTGACACATTTGCCACCCAGGCCGATGGTCCTTCTTTCCTTGCGCTGACACTAACACCACTCCTGCGTTTGTCCTTCTATGCCCTCTCTTTTTTTCTCTCGCCTTTTTTTTTTTTTTAAACTAATGGAGACACAGCCTCAGGTTTAATCAGAGATTAATCAGTGACCTCAGTGTTCCTGCACACAGCACGCAATAGTCTGTGCAGCATTTTAGGCATTATCTTCCCAAACCGAAGAGTATACGTACGCCTTGCAAGATTTTTCTAGAGCTCCAGGAAAAAAATAGAAACATCGATCGAGTGTGTAGCACTTTTTCTAAGTTTTAACAGGTCTTCTAGGTCCAACCCACCTACATCAGAAGTAGCTGCAAACCTTGGATTCTGGGAAGAAAACACACGGCAGAGCCGTATGCCTGCCACCATCCACAGGTGTGTCCTCATGGGAACTTACACATGTGTATTTGCACACATGTTCGAGAATGCCAGACAGAATTTTTGTTAAGTACTACACATTCTCAGACTATACCTTGCAAGACAGTAAGTCCAGTCTGGGTTTAGGGCTAATATACATTGTGGCATCCTAATAGCTTCAAGACAGATGTCCAGGCTCTGAAACAAAATTTGCTGTCGTTACCTAAGTACCTAAGGGAAAGGACGTTGGCCTGATTGTCTGAATGTCAACCCTTTAAGTCGCATCTAGATTTTTGGATATAGAGCCATCTTATCTGAAGGAAGCCTCTGTTTACACACCAGGATTGAAAGCTTATCATGACCAACTCAAGTCCTAGCATTTTTCGCCAGGAACGTTTATTTCAGAAATCGAAGGTTCTAGCATCCCCTAGATAAAGTCAAACAAATCAGCCACCGTGTAGCCTACTAGCGACACCAGGTGGCGACCTCAGTCCCTGTATAAGAAAGCTCAGTGATGGGAGATAGAGGATCCCAAGTCAGAGGGCTGTTCTAACATAATCCTTCAAGAGATACAGTCCTGGGGCTTATAGCTCCCAGCCGTGAGGCCCTGCCAAGGAGGCTGGCCTCCTGCTCCCTGTCTCACAGCCATCGCAAGGCCTCCTGCAAACTACATCTGCCACATAACTGACATATAACACTGTTACAGGCCAGGTGAGGGGGAATTTCTGTGCACCAGCAGAGGTTATGAAACTATTATTGATAACTCTTTCTCATGAAGAAAATCTCCTGTTAATTTGGATTGAACCCATGACACCATATTGGAAATATATGGCTCTTTCAGTCTGTGGGATTGCCCTACGTGGCCTTACTAAAACCAGCTCATGAAAGGCCCTCGGAGACCCGGGGTCACAGGGCATGCCTGGGCTAATGGGACTGTTTCTGGCCAAAACGCTGCCTGGGAACCAGGAAGTTCTGGAAGATCCCTCTAGAGACAATCATTGTCTCGTAGAATTTTGCTAATTGGTGAAAAGGTTGCATGAGATTTCTTGCCCTGCAATTAGAAAGCCATATCCTTCTGGTTTCGTTCATCTCAGTCGAGTTCATCAGATAAGCAGGTCTGTAGTAAGAGCCTTGTAGGGACGTTAGTGCTTATTGTAGATCATTATACTCAGTAGATTGACCTATTTCATAATAACCATGAGTATCGGACTTGTACCCAAATTTGTATCATTATTAACCTCTCCGTGGTCTATTCATCTACTCTCCTATAAATCAAATATTTCTTTAAAATTTTCTCCTATCATCATGAAGCGCTAGCCTAGTACTGCACTTGTATGCAATTTTCCTATAACTATGTCTCTGATGGTTTTGGTTTATTGCCCATATGCATTTTGAGCCTGCTACACAGTTGTCTGAACAATCCAAATCTAAGGGCCTATAAGCAGATATTAAGAGGCTTACTTACCTTTTACACAGAGTCTTGACCATCTGAGAGCATATCTAAGATGTCATTGTGAGATTACATGACATTTGTGACCAAGCTACCCTGGATAAAGTTAATACACCTGCTTTGATACACTCATTCTTTTTTCTAGCCCAGTGACAAAAATGACAGGTCATGTGAAACCTACCCTTGTGACATCTTTATCTTAGTGGCTTTCATCGGAGTATGCCTGCTACTACATCCGTTTTAAAATACGTATGTTCCTGGGTGACATTTGAAATACTTAACAATGGGTGTGGCATGGGCTGGGACCGATCAGAACAGAGGCCAACACATGTCAATTCCTTGTCCATTTCATGGCTAACTTCTCACCCGAGTCCTAGCAGGGTATGCTAACTCCATGTTTGGGCTCAAGACCTCATTTATTCTTCTTCAGACCTTTTTACTGGATGTGTTAGTTGTTTAATAACCCAAGTTTAAAATCCCACATTAGACCTGACGTTGTTCAAGCACGCCAGCTGAATCGTTGCACATATTTGGAGGCCTTACCGGGAGGAGGGCAAGTTAAAGAGGAAGGTGTTGGGTGGCTAACGTATCTTGTATCCTGTACAACATTTCCATGTGATTAATACTGACTCTGTTGTTTGTGTGTTAACTCCTTGAAGGTGTATGGATGCTCTTTCCATTTGTAACAGGATGGTGGGATTGCTCGGGGTTGACTTTGGCGGGGCCTGTTTATTGTGCTTTGTTATGGTGTCGTTGCTTTAACCAAACAACTTCCTTGGGATTGTGTTCCATCTATCACCGCCTCTTCCTCTCGGGCTTCAGCAACAAGAAGAGAAGGCAGCAGTGCCTGGGAAACGATGAGACACGGCTAGTGTTAGTATCACGGCAGGGCCCGAGGGGACAGACACACACATGCCGGAAAAGGCCACGCTGCCTGGTCAAGCACTGTCCACACCCGGCCCTCACCGCTGGCTTCTCACGCCCTGAATCTTGGTGAGAGCCTCAGAAATGGACCTTCGCTCCATGTCGGAGGATTTAGAGACTAAAAGCTGAATTACGATGTCACGACCATCATTTTAGTCTCACGTGTCTGCTTTGGAAATGTTTAGACATTTTGGCAACATTACCATTCTGAATTTGGATTTGATGATCGCCTTGGGTATTGTTAGTTTGAAGGCTGTTGTGACACGTTACGTGGCGAGTCCAAGTAAAAAACTGCAAGTCCCTTTTCAGTCTGTCCTTTGACCGGGGAATAATTATGGGGTATTTTTTCATCTCCAAGTACCACACCCAACAAATGCAGAGTCCTTATAGGACAATTTCCATAAGAGAAGCAGAGATAGTACTGAAAGACCTAGCTGGAAGGGACGTGAAAAATCTCCTGGTCTAGTTCCTCGGTTTATAAGCAAGAAAACTGAGGCCCAGAAAAGTGAAGGTAACACAGTGAAGTGGCAGGTCTGGATTAGAGTGAGAATCTTCTGCCTGCCGAGATACTGTGCTTTCGACAGCGACACACCCCTCTTCCCGTGTTAGATTCTGCTAGGCTCACAATCAGATGCTGGAAAGAGAACGTGTTGATACAGAATCAGTCCCTTTATTCTCTTAACTGCTCCCTCACAGAATTCGAAATACTTAAAACACTTTGCTAATTGAGATTTTCGTCTTGTGCAAACACAGGGCATTTTTGGAAGTTGGAGAACAAAGCAACCCAAGGTAAACAGAGCTATATAGGTTTTGGACTAGTGTGTAACAAATGTGCTTGGCCCGCATGGTTTGGAAGTATTAAAGGAACAATTTAGTGATAGTCCACCTTGGGGGGATGTGGTTTTGTGGAGTAACATGTCCTACACTATTCTACCAGAATTTGGAATTATTCCATGAAGACGTACGGAAATCTGATGTTGAATATGAAAATGGCCCCCAAATGGAATCCCGAAAGGTGAGTTTAGCAGATCTGTGTTCCAAATGATACCGTGCAGATTAATTACCTTCCCTTGCAGATCCATTTCTGATTAATGTGTGTGGTTTCCCTCCTCCGTTGTCCCTCTCAGGTTACTGCAGGGGCTCTAGCACCTCTTGACCATCCTAAGTGGGAAATAGCAATGGGGAATGGTATTTCTGATGCATCAAGAACCTTAGAGTACAAAACAGACATCCAAAAGAAGGAAAATTCCATATCCAACAAGAGTTTATTTAGAGACAGTAGAAACTATTCCCAGAAAAATGTGTCTAAGGTCAACTCCAGCTACCCTGGCACTAGTCCATCGGAAGTTGAAATAAACAAAGGACCTAAGAGCTTAGGACCACCGCACCCTATATCTGACACTGAGCATCAGAAGATGAATTATGGAAAGACAAAGGAGATGATGAGTCTAGAAGGACCAGAAAATACAGATAGGTGTGACCTTCCCTCTCCCACTAGGTCAACTGAATTGAGCCCGTGTGATGTCAAAACTCAAGATCAAGAGGTTCCCATGACAGAGTTCGGCCAGGTTGTTCTGAGACCCAAGGGGGCACGGCATGTGAACGTGAACCTCAGCGAGGACGGGGAGTCGACCCCAAGTTCTCCCGCTGAGGAAAATGCGACCCCCGACAACATTGCCTTCATGATTACCAAAACCGCGGTCCAGGTTCTCTCCAGTGGGGAGGTCCGAGACATAGTGAGCAAAAAGGGGGAAGATGTACAGACGGTTAATATTGATGCCAAAAAAGAGACAACTTCCAGACAAGGAGGAACTGAAAACGAAGAGCCAGTCTTGTGCCTGGACAAGAAACCAGTTATCATCATCTTTGACGAGCCCATGGACATCCGGTCCGCGTATAAGAGACTTTCGACCATATTCGAGGAGTGCGATGAGGAATTAGAGAGAATGATGACAGAGGAAAAGATAGAGGAGGAGGAAGAAGAGGAAAATGGAGACCCAGGGGTCCAGAACAATACTTGCCGAAAGTTCCCCGAGGAGATGGCCCCTGGCAGCCCCGGACCGGCACGGCAGGCTGACCGTGAGTTACAGCCACACCGCCCGCCGGCCAAGGCTGACACATCAGGAGGACAGGAAGTGAACAAAAGGGAGTGGGGCAAGTTCAGCCAAGCAGATTCTCCAAGTTCAGAAAGCAAGGGCGACGGGACAGATGACCAGTTTGAAAACCCCAAGAAGAAGTTTAAGTTCAAATTCCCTAAGAAGCAACTGGCAGCTCTCACTCAGGCGATTCGCACAGGAACCAAAACGGGGAAGAAGACTTTGCAGGTGGTGGTCTACGAGGAGGAGGAGGAGGACGGCGCCCTGAAGCGGCACAAGGAAGCCAGGCGATTTGAAGTAGCTAGGTCTCAACCCGAAGACACCCCCAAAAGCATGCTTAGGAGACCAGAGCCACCCGGCCCAGAGAGCCCCGCTCTGATTTCCAGGACTGATGAAATTCGGAAAAACACCTACAGGACCCTGGACAGCCTGGAGCAAACGATCAAACAGCTTGAAACGACCATCAGTGAAATGAGTCCAAAAGCTCTGGTTGATGCTTCATGCTCTCCCAACAGAGATTCTGTGGCAAGCTCACCCCACATAGCCCCAGAGGCCTCTCCCCGCTCCCTGCTAGTTCTGGATGAAGCTCCCACTGCCCCAGAGCCCCCCTCGTCCGTACCTTCAGCTTCACGTAAGGTATCTTGGTCTGACGGAAAGTGAAAAGACCCAGCTGCTTTCTTACATCTGCCATAATCACCATTAGCAACAGGTGTCTTGTGATTGACTTGCTTCCTTTCAGGTGGCTCATTGTGTTTTGTTTTTGTCTGTTCGCCACGATCCCTTTCTCTCACACTTTCTCCCTCACTTTCAAAACAACAGCTAGGTGTCTAACAGCTAATCGATCCTCTTTTTACCTCTGTTGCTGATTGGTGTTGGGTAAACGCAAGGACGCTGGGCCGGTCATTTGCTGTTGAAATGATTGCTCTGATACTCACATTAAAATCCGTTTGATCAGTAGTGGAGCAGTTTATTCTGTTTGATTCTTCAAATTAACCCCAGTGGTGTCTCCTGATGTCCGTCTCCTAGATCTGTCCTGCATGTAGGGCTATGGCTTCTCACGTTGACCTTCTCTGCACACGGCGGGAGATCCTCGGCGATAACCCACTCATGTGCTTCTCCTTCTCTCCCCCCCTGCTGCTCCTTCCCCCAGGGCTCCGCTGGGACCCCGCAGACGAGCAGGATGCCAGTCCCCATGAGCTCCAAGAGCAGACCCGGAAGCCTGGACAAGCCTGGCAAGCCGTCCAAACTGCAGGATCCCCGCCAGTATCGTCAGGTAGTTTTACCTTAAACCCAATTTTGGATGGACGCTATTGCAGTTAAGAAGCAAGTCGCTGACTTAGTTTATACCAAATCTTGTGTTTTCTTTGTAAGATATGGTTTACATAGACATCTGGGATCTGGGGCATGAAGAAAGTCTAAAAAAACCTTTGTTAAACTTTCCACCACGCTTTTGCATGCTCACAATAAAACATCTTTCACTTTGTGACTCCAAAGTTTAACTGTTAACCAAGGTGCCAGGCCCATTGGCTTTTCTTTGGTGAAGGGAGTGGTTCATCAGAACCCCTTGGGAAACCGAGACAGACCTGTCCTTGAGCTGCCCTGAAAGTCACCAGTACTAACGGATATGCTGACTGCATTGCATTCGAGGCACATTAACTGTCCATCACGATGCCCCAGCCCCACCCCCACCCCCGTAACCACCCAGACGCATGGCCAGCCTAGCACCCAGGAACGGGGAGTGGGATGATGTGCCTGTTCTCACCGACAACACCTGTTCTTCCTTTTTCTCCCTCTTCTGCACATCCTGCGCTCTGTACTTTAGGGGTTTCTGCCAGGTCCAGTACAGCACAACGGGACTTAGCTCAGGCCTTGAACTGGTTCGGTTTGGTTTGGTCTCTGTGATTTAATGATTCTCAGAAGGGCTGTGTTGCCAGACCCTGTGGATCAATCATGTTACCAGCTCTCTGACAAACTGTCTCCCGCCATCTTTATTCACAGGCTAATGGAAGTGCTAAGAAAGCTGGTGGGGACTGTAAGCCTACTTTCCCCTCCTTACCTGCTTCTAAGATTCCAGCCCTTTCTCCCAGCTCTGGGAAAAGCAGTTCTCTGCCCTCTGCTAGTGGCGACAGCTCTAACTTGCCTATTCCACCTACTACTAAACCATCGGTTACTTCTAACCCTCTCAGCCCCCAGACAGGACGATCCGCCCCCTCTGCCTCCCTCATCCCCTCTGTCTCTAATGGCTCCTTAAAGTTTCAGAGCCTCACTCATGCAGGTAAAGGCCACCATCTCTCATTCTCGCTGCAGACTCAAAACGGCCGAGCAGCCCCTCCCTCCTCCTCCTCCTCCTCCTCCCCACCCTCCCCCGCCTCCCCCACGTCACTGAATCAAGGTGCCAAGAGCATCAGGACCATCCATACACCCGGCCTCACCAGCTACAAGGCACAGAATGGAAGTTCAAGCAAAGCCACCCCATCCACAGCAAAGGAAACCTCTTAAAGGCCAAATCCTGTTAGGCACAAGTCGGAGTTACATTAAAAAAAAAAAAAAAAATCTTTCTTTTTTTTCAACAGTCTTCAACAACTGTTTTCACAAGAGAATGTATCATATTGCTGTACTGTTTGAAGCTTAATGCTAAGTATGTGCTAAATACTGGATGAATAGATTTCAGTAAAGCTCGTTTGTTTTTTGTTGTTTTTTTTTTACTTTGTTGCTGTTGTAATTACACAGTGTTTACTGTCTATATTCAATACCTGTTACATGAAGTAAGCATGTGTTACAAAAAGAGTGGCTGGCAGGAAAGAAGGGTGAGTGTGAGACTGTGGGGGGCGGGGAGATGTATTCAGCATGTAAAACATGTATGATTCCAGAATTTTAGTATGTTTTGTACAAAAATATTTTTCATTACGGAGACTAGATGTGAACAGAGAAATACACAAGTGTGACTATACAAATTGTAAAACAGATACTATAATATTTCCTTTTATTTTAGTGTTATTTAGCTTTATTACAGATTTCTATTTTTGTCAAAACTTCATGGTTCCTTTCGAGATCCTTTTTGCCAAAAACATTTTGATACTATAGCATTGTACGTGTGAAAGTAGTGTGCTAGACAATATGCCCGTGAACTTCTGCACAAGCCAACCCAGAGGTGCGTGTAGAAGGCAGTTTATCAATCCCGTTGCACTGCCATGAAAATGAGGTATGATGATCTGCAGCCCAGGCAAGCGAGCTTTCTTTACTTTTCTTTCGTTCTCTTTTTTCTCTTCCTTTCCTTTTTTTTTTTTTTTCTTTTTTAACATATTGGGATTCTCTAGTTGCTTTCTTTGCAGTATCGAACCCCTTCCTTTGTTTTCGGAGACCTGGCAACCCACACTATTGCATTGTGGATTTTAACATGTACACTTCTGTACGGTTCTGTCAACTGATCAACTTTTGTACATATATAAATAGACATCAGAAATACTGGATGTGACAGCACAGAGTAGTTTTCCCACACCAAAGTTAATTTTTATGCATGCTTTAAAACTCTATCTCGGGATGGGCAGAAATGGGGACTCCCCGTACGTTTTTAAAAAGCAACGAGTTTGCACAGCTGGAGTGTTTTTTGTAAATAAATGTATTTGTATAACACAGTCATGTAATATACAGAACTATAAGCAGAGACTTTGCAAAACTAAATAAAGGGCTGCATGCTTATTATTTTTTTGTACCTTGTCCCTCGAACTACTTCCTAGTCAGAGAACAAATGAAACTATCACCGAGTTAAATGGTTTGGGTTTTGAGGACATTGTCGGTGACGTGTAACCGGACACGAACTGGGTTTCTGAGTCATGATGAGTTCCTGATAAATGCATTGCAAGCGTGGTGCCTTCTGGTGTAACCTGTTGACCCTTGTCTCTGCGGCTTACCCACGGCTTGCCTACCACAAAGCAAACCTGGGGACAAAGCTTTCACCCTCATTGGCCAGAGGGGCTCATATTACTTTCTCTTTTTTAATTTCTAGTAGAAGTAAAGTAGAAATAAACCATCTTTGTCACTATCTTCTTTTGGAGTTCTCAATTCTAAAAAATATCGTTGGTGTAGAGAGACCCATGCGAGCCAACATGACACTCCATGTATTCATTTGAAAAATGGGAAGAACAGTTAATGCAAATAACACCAAAATTATGAATCACAAACAAGAACAGTCTCAGGGAGCTGCCTATTGTTTTTTGCCTCCAAAATATTTAACTTGGTTTGATGTAAAGGGTAAATTATTATTACTTCAGCACCTGGTTGTTAGTGGTCCTCAGCTTCAAGTGTACAGAGCTGGGATGCCTTCATCAGAAATAGTATATTCTGTCTCTACTCCTATTAACTGTAATCACAGGTCTCAGGGAGGGCTCGGGAAAGTCGTCATCTTAGAGTTTTTAGGCCTAAAATGTTGCAACACCTCAATCATGTCCCATCACAACTCAACAACTCTGTTAAAATACATACAGCAACCAGCTGACTCGTACCAGTTCATTTGCTCCTCTGTATGCACAAGCTGAGAATTCTTTGTAAGCAGCTAACCACAGGTGGTGGCTCCCGTCCTCAGTTTACCCTCAGACTTCCCAGAGTGCTGGCAAGGCTATACCGGGGATGGCCAATTGCAGCCGACATCATGAAGGATGGGGCATGTACCCCGGGTAAGGAACAGCTCAACACAGCTCAGCCATAACCCTGAGACCCAGCAAAGTGCCGCCTGCCTCCTCAGGCCCTTGGAGGGAAACTGAGTCCGGGTGTATGCGGGCTGCCTCTGACAACACGTAACGGAAAGGCACCTTGGTTCCTTTAACAGCTAAAATGGGTGGTGCTAGATAGGAACTGCTAGGTTTTCAGATTTTGTTCAACCACTATTAGACTCTCACTACATTATCTTTGAAGCTCATCATTCAACTAACAGATTGTTCCCTCTGAAAAAAATACTCTTAGAAATAAACCATAGGGGCTTATCAGATTCATCCAACAATCCATCAGCCCGTGCTGTGTGCTGGTTGTGCAGCCTTGGGCATGCCTCAGTTTCTCATCTGTGAATGGAGAATAATAACAGAACCTACCTCATAGGATTGTTGAAAGATTAAATTCGATGTGTAGAAAATTCTTAAGACAGAGCCTGACGGGCGCCTGGGTGGCTCAGACGGCTAAGCGTTCGACTCTTGATCTTGGTTCAGGTCATGATCTCAGGGTCATGGGATTGAACCCCTCATCCAGCCCCACATTGGGTGTGGAGTGTGCTTAAGATGCTCTCTCTCCCTCCAAAAAAAAAATAATAAATATTTTTAAAAATTAAGAAAAAAAAGCCTGACACAGATGCACACTCGATAAAGGTTAGGACTATTGTCCTTATCACTGCTACACTGATAACTGGACACTGTTCCTGCTCTTAAAAGGCTTCCATCTAGTTGTGGAGGGGATGGCACAGACATGGGCAGGCGGAGAAGTCAGACGAACCTAACGGTGGGCAGCAGGAGTCCAGAGGAGAGGTGGTTCGCCGAGGTGATGGCATTTGGCCCTCCCTGGTACAATACAGAACTTTTAATAGTGCTGCAGCATTAAAGAGACTGCTTTTCTTTCAATGCTACCTGTGACTCCGACTCTTTCCAAAGAAAAACAAAAGATTGACACAGTCTTGGAACAAAGCCAAGGTCCTAGAATCATGGCTACGAAAGAGTGGTCCTTTTGCAAGGTTGCGTTTTCAGGGTTGGGAGAAGGTGTACCCCCAAATCACCCCAGCCAGACTCCCCAGATGGTGGGACGAGTTGATGTCCATCCCTGAGCTGAGTACCAGGGGCAAGACCCATGAAGAAAAGTAGACAACGTCCTCTGGGCTCCCAAAGCAGCTTTGGCCATGCCTGTCCCCAGTCTGCTTCCTGAGTGCCCCACTCTGTAATTCAAACTAACTTCTTCCCCTCTCCATGGCTCTGAAAATGCGAAAGCATTTGAGAGCAACTGAGAAGCTTTTTTGGAGGGAGTGGAGGAATGCGGACTGCTTCAACCAAAAATTCCAGAGGTCATTTTGCAGAAGCAAGCAGGTGACATTGTTGGGGAGACACACCCCGGGCCACAGGCAACAGTGAGCTCTGATCTGTGCTCCTGAGAAGGTAATGTCCCAAAGAAAGAAACTGATCATGTGAGCACTTTTGAGGAGGGAACCCCAGATTTGCCAGGACTCACGGCCATCTCGCTTGAAACAAAAGCTCATCCTGATGACCTGGAGGTTAGAAGGTCAAGTCATGCTCAACACACTGCACAGAGAAGACGGGGGAGCTTACAGTGCATTCCTAGACTTACACAAAATGCTTAATTTGTTTAATTGCCTAGCACTGATGGGGAAGTCCTTGGTCCTTGCGACTGTGGACACATCAACAATAACTACCATCTGCTGCCTATTATGGGCCAGGTTATGCTAAAGGGTTTTACACAGATCGCCTTTTAATCCTCACAAAAACCTTGTGAAAAAATTACTGCCATTCTCTCTTCCCGGTCGTGCTGTAGAGCACGGGCTGAGTAAGAGAGAGGAGGAACAGGGCGCGCGTCTGGGATGAGGCGAGGTATAGGCACTTGACCGTTCTGCTTGGGATCGGGGACCCTCAGGTTGTCTCTGAAAGGACTTGCCGAGCAGTTTTTCATTCCTGGACCAAACGACAGAGCATCTTTAAAAAAAAAAAAAAAACAAAGCTCGTTCATTGCGTCATGACAAATTTTGGCTGCCTCACCTTCAAAAATGGGCAGGCAGAGAAGCACTCAGCTTAGGGGGTTAATATTCTCATCCAGCGTCACTTGAAGGCAGGTGAAGCTGGGTCGTTACCTGGGATGTCCAATTTCTTTTTCCCTAAGCAGGTGGACGAAAACCCGAAGGCACCAGGGCCAGACGGCAGGGGAATCAACCCACCTGCCAGAAAGGCCCCGCCCCGACCACGCCCACTCAACCACATCCCTGCTCCGCCTACACTCCGCTAGGCCACGCCTCTCCCTCGCCCTCAGTCCTCTGACCAGAATCTGGTTGCTACAGCACCTTCTCCACTCAGTCCCGGGCCGAAAGGGCTCCCAAGCGCCCCTCAAAAGCATTTCTAGGAGTTTTATTTCCCAACACATCCCAGGCACCAGGCACGGGACTTGCGAGTGGGCAGTTCAGCCCCTCAGAGAGTCTTTGAAATGCGAGGATGAGGGTCCAGTCTTACCGGATCCTGTGCTCCCTTTTAAGTGACAAATGCTTTGTAGGAAATAAAATTCTTGTTGATACATCCTACCTACTCACGTAGTTTCAAAAACTAAGCAAAGCAATCTAGTGCCCTACTGGTTATATAACGAAGACATCACGCGGCCACACACATGAGCAGAACACAGCAACAGATGCATTTGCTTCATTTGGAGACTCAAACCCAAGAACGCTTTGTTAATGTGACTTCTCCCCCAGAGAGTGAACGACTCTGTTTGAAGCTTCAAAGCAAATTCTCCCTCATTTTACACCTTCTTGGAAATTTTTTTGCATATTTTAAGAATGCTCAAAAGCTTATTTGTAAAGCAGAATTGGCCTGTAGGCTCAGATCATTGTAAATAAGTTCTTCACTCACATGAATGTTTGGTGGGACGTCACCAGGTTCTGCTGGAGGGGACAGTTCCTGGCCGACCACAGCAGGCCACACCCATGCCACGCCTCATCACTGGGACAACTTCCAAGCTCTCCACAAATAATCTACACTTGCCTCTAAAGGGCAGAACTGCTTTGTCTGAGAACCACTGGGCATAGAGTAAGGAACACACACATCATTGCTGAAAAAATCCGGGCAAACCCCAAGGATGGTAAGGATCCAGCCGTGAAGTTCCAGCCCAGTGAGCCCTTCTCCACAAGATGGCAACACTTAGGGGACACACTCGGGGCTCGGGTCCACTTGAATGGCCTGCCATTTCTGGAACTTGTTCCCGAAACCTCTAGCCATATTCACATTTATGCTCTCTCCATTCATGCCTGGAAGAGCAAGTGATTAACAGAAGAAACCCAACCTCTAAACATCTGTAAGGAGGAAAGGGGCAGTAAATCTTAAGAAGATGGGTGGAAATGGATTTCTCTCTTCTAAATGTTGAAGCTCTGGGATTACCAAGGTGCTGAGTCATTTAGAACCAGAACTCTTCCTTGCCACAGACACCATCTCCTCTCCCACCTCACGTGAAAGTGGGGGGGGGGGGGCAGGGAAACAAGCTGGTGGCCAGTGGGATACACCCCAGCAGCAGAAGAACCTAAGAAAGCCCGATCTTGCATTTGGGATAAACTCTCCTTGTGTTCCAGGTTCACAAACTTGGCTGCGCCCCTGTGATCACAAGGCTGGGACCTGGGTCCCACCCACAGAGAGTCTAAATCAGGGAGGACAGAGGCTCTGTCTGTGCAGGGGATTATTATCAAACCTTTCCAGGCGATTCTAATGGGAAGCCAGGGCTGAGAACCTGGGTCTCACACTAGAAAGCAGCGGCCCCAGAAGTAATGAGATGTTGTCTCTTAAAAATAAAAGGTGACTATTACCCAAAGATAGCAGATTCAAACTTGGAAAGTATTTTAATTTTTTTTTTTTTCAAACTTTCCAACTGTTTAAATTAGAAAGTCACCAGTACTGGGCGCCTGGGTGGCTCAGTTGGTTAAGCGACTGCCTTCGGCTCAGGTCATGATCCTGGAGTCCCGG